GGTAGCCTCGACAGCAACGCCCTTTTAAGATAGAATGATAAAGTGTATTAATAAGTATTTAGACGCTACCTGTAAACTAAGGGAGGAGTGGTCAAGAAGGGGTATGACTACATGCCAGGGAGTAGTCCCCACAATTGAAAGAACAGAAAATAGATGGTGGCAGCTTGTATGACAGAAGGAAACTCCGATATAGGAGAATCCTAGCTAAGGGTAAGCTAGGATGATTGCGTTAACGCCTTACAGCATAACCAGTGGAGGCAAGGAGGGGTACCTGCACACCCCCGACGGCACGACGTTACCAGTAGTACCAGTTTACGACCTAACCAGTGGAGGCGAGGAGGGATAACTCCACGCCCCCTTACTTGCAGTGTTACGGTGGTAGCAGAGGAGGCTGACTCCACGCCCCCCCCTGCGCCGCTAGGGCATTACAGTGGCGGCTGCGGGAGGGCTACCTCCACGCCCCCCTGCTCCACGGCATTACAAAAGCAGTTACTTAAAACTTGATCAAATTTTATATATGTGTCCATACAAAACAACACCAAAAAGGCTATCCCTGTAACAGGCCGTGGAGACCTATAGGTTTGTGAGACGTCGAGGCTCCCACATTTTCTCTAGATAATCGGCTAACAGATTGGGGTAAAGTTCTCAGTCTTAAGCGCCGTCCGCCCTTTAGCCCCCAGGAAGATTTATGGTACTCATTTTTGTTAGAGGTTGAGTCGAACCCATGGCCATAGTGCGGCTGGAAGGATTAGGTAAATTGAAAAAAAAAGATCCACCTCATCGGGACTCGAACCCGCGACCTTCCGGCTTGTAGCATGGTGCCTCAACCAACTACGTTACCTCGTGCTCCACATAATAGCAACAAATCTATCATTTATAATGAAACCGGATATAATCCTATAATACTTGCGTCTGCTTACTTAATTCTTTCCAGCTACACCTGGATTTTTATACTTACCGGAAAATAAATGTTCTCCCTTGTGAAAACTTCCAACTTTATCGATCATTAGGCACTAAATAGTCTGTGTTATTTATTGACTAACGCACTAGCTCCAAGGATCTGAGTTACTCTTGAGAAGCCGCCACTTGCTTAGCTACTCAATAATTTCCCCAAATTTTTAAGGAAACCGAAAGTTCATTGCCGTGTTCACAAGAGCCCTTCATTGGCCCTTACATTAAGCCAGAACGTGTTATTAATACAAAGAAAACAAAAACAAACTCCGTGGTTCTAGTCCGCAAGCGAACTATACCGACCGAGAGAACGCCGCTTGTCGGCGAAGTTAGTGCCAACATTAGCGGATAGAGGGGTGTCACGTGGTCAGGGCAACGAATCCCCACGGCCGTTAATTTCGATACCATCGTTAAAGAAACTATAGAAGAACATGGAACATTCATGGCTGCCAAGGTTATCAAATTTGAAGAATGTTTTCGTGACTACTCTTTATTTTAGGGGGTACAAAGTAGTAACTGAAAATCATTTGACATGAAAAGAGGATACGCGTGGTTTTACTATTGGGTCCTTTATCGGTCTCAGAGGCAATGCATTTTCACTTTCCCACATCGGCAGTACATATGAAACGGTACAGTGTCCATAAAAGGCAATGAACTCGGGAGTTCGACGGATTTACATGTTTTTAGACCTCTCGGAATACAAAAAAACGAGAAGTTCTGGGGGACAAATTATCGCCTACATTCCTGGATATTACACGGACTGCATAGAAAACGAGGCAGTTGAGATGGGCTCAGATGCCGTGATATACAGGGGATGGACAAAAATATGGAAACACCTTGTGAAATGCATGCCTGAATTGAAGTGTTTATTTTAGCGACGTTTGTAGGTGACGCTGCCGTATCTGCCCAACAGCACTACCTGTACAACCTCCGCAGTACGTTGCAAGCTTCATTTATTGTCGAGACATTGTTCTGTGCAGTTTTTAGTGCATCATGTCAGAGCCAACACAATTCGAACGCGGGCAAATTGTTGGGGCCTGTAGGGTGAGTGCTTCCGTAACCAAGGTAGCCGAGGTTTCTGGTGTTTCGCGAGGCACAGTATCCAAGATTATGACCGCATACAGGAGGACTGGAAGAACCGCATCCGATAAACAACAGCGTGGACGGAAATGTGTGTTGAGTGATCGAGACAGGCGAACATTGCGTAGGATTGTGACGAAAATAAGAAGACTACAGCTGCAAAAGTGACTGCTGAACTGAATGTCACGCTCACAAACCCTGTCAGCACCAAAACAGTACGAAGGGAACTCCACAAGCAGGGTATTTCTGGACGAGCTGCAATTCCAAAGCCACTCATCAGTGATCAAAATGCCACTAAGAGGAGAGTGTGGTGCCGAAGTCATAAAACCTGGACTATGGAGCAATGGAAGACGGTCATTTGGTGGGATGAGTCCACCTTCACACTGTTCCCGACTTCTGGCCGAGTTTACGTCTGGAGAACGCCATCCCAAGCTTACGATCCAGATTGTTTGCTGCCAAGAGTGAAACATGGCTGGGGTTCGATCATGGTATGGGCAGCCATATCGTG